GCTGTCAAGGAGCGCGCCACCGTGTTCTGCGTGAAGAAAAAGTCGGGGATGCAGCGGCTAGTGGTCGACGCTCGCCGCAGCAACCGCCGCTTTCGCGACCCCCCCGGAGTGGAGCTGGCCACCGCCGAGTCGCTAGGGCTCATCGAGGTCGACGACGACTCGGAGGTGTTCATCAGTACAGGCGACGTGCGGGACGCGTTCTACCGCTTCAAGATCGATGTGGAGCTCAGCCGCTACTTCGGGCTGCCGCCGCTGCGAGCGGAGGAGCTCCACCTTCACGAGGCTGAGGGGGAGTGGCTGTCGCCGGACCGCTGGGTGCACCCCTGCTTCGCGGTGCTCCCCATGGGGTTCAAGTGGTCACTCTACCTCGTGCAGGAGGCGGTCACCAAGCAGGTGGAGGATGCCACGGGCGCGACCGCCGATCGGCGCCTGCAGACGTTTGGCGGCTCGCGCCTGATTACCTCAGGCGGGCAGCCTCTCCACTATGTCTACGTGGACAACGTGGGCTTTCTTGGCGGTCAGCCTGAGGAGGTGCAGACGATGAAGGATTGTGCTTGCGAGCGATTGGACGACGTGGGGCTGTCCACTCACGAGCACGTCGAGGCCCAGACTCAGTCGGAAGTGCTGGGCGTGGCGATCGATGGCGGCAAGGGCATTGTAGCCGCGTCGCTCAAGAGGATGTGGAAAGTCGACAGCCTGCTGACCTGGCTGCTGGACCGTGGAGTTGCCTCAGGGCACCAGCTGGAGTCAACCGTTGGCCACCTGACCTTCATTTTCATGCTCCGTCGCCCCCTGTTGTCGGTTTTGTCTGCGACCTACCAGTTCATTCGCAGCGCTGGTGGTGAGCAGGTCGACCTCTGGCCCTCTGTGCGGGCCGAGCTTAGTGCAGCGCGAGCCCTGTTACCCTTTGCATTTGCTCAGTGGAGATTGCCCTGGCATGGCGAGGTGGTGGCGACGGACGCCTGCCCTACAGGATGGGGAGTTGTCGAGAGCTCTTGGAGTGACAAAAATGTGAAACAGGTTGGGAGGGTCGACGAGCGTATGCGATTTCGGGTCCGTCAAGATATGGCTCATCGTGCACACGCTCTTGCAGGTTCTCGAGATGCCCTGGAGGACAAGTTCACCGTGTACGTCCCTAAGGGGACGAATGACCCGAACGAGTACTGGGAGGAGGACCCCAAGTTCCCCGACATCAGCCCCGACTGGATCCACGAGGCCCCCTGGAAGTTTGTATACGCTGGAAGGTTCTGCCGTAGGGAAGCCATTCACATTCTGGAGGCGAAGGGGATGATCTGGGCCCTTCGTCGGCTCGCAAAGCGCCCTGGTATCGGTGGTCGTCATGTCGTCTTCTTGGGGGATAACATGGGCCAGATCTTGGCGTTCTGCAAGGGGAGGGCCTCGGATTTCCAGATGAACATCTGCTGTCGAAGGTGGTGCGCCCTTTCCCTGGCCCTCAACATCCGTTGCCATGTTCGTTGGGTGCCGTCTGATCTCAATCCCGCCGACGGGCCTTCGCGGCGGTACGAGCCCGGGCACAAGCGGCCAAAGCCCGATGCGGTCGCAGGGGCCGACCCGGCCGCCGCCGGCTCGGCGAGAGGATCGGCGCCTGTTGAGCAATGGGCGCAATGCTGCACAGAAGGCGTCGGCTATTCCGGCGGCTCGGCCGCGGAGGGAGATCCCGCGCCTGCCGAGGAGCGTACCGATCTCGCAGCCGGCGAAGCTGAGGAGGCTGAGTACGGCGCTGGCGAGGCAGGACCGCTTCTCGGTGGAGGTCGACGCCCTCGGCCGCTCGTTCCTGGAGACGAAGGCCGTGGGGGAGAAGGTCGACCAGCAGTACGTGGAGGTGATGGAGGGGTTCGTGCAGGACTGCGCCAGGCTCGGTCTCTCGCTCGACTCCCCGGAGGAGGTCGACTTCGCCCTGATCGAGGTGTTCGACGAGAAGTTCTTCAACGGCATGGACGGGGGCGTAGGGCACTACCTGCTGGCGGCCATCCAGGGCCTCCGCCCGGAGTTCGGGCGAGCTGGGACCTTTCGGCTTCCCCGTGCCCACCGTGCCCTCCAGGGCTGGGACCGCCTGGCTCCTGGGCAGTCGCGGCTCCCCGAGGCGCGACCGGTGTGGGCGGCCCTGATGGTGGAGCTGGTGCGGGCGGGCTTCCGCACGATGGCCATCGAGACGCTGGCCGCGCTTGTGACCTACGCGCGGCCTGGGGAGATTCACGAGCTGAAGGCGAAGTGGCTCATCCCCCCGTCGTCGAACGTGGGCCCCCACTGGACGTTCGTCATCCGGCCGTCCGAGGAGCTGAGGCCGACCAAGGTGGGGATCTACGACGACACCGTCATCTGGGACAAGGAGGAGGCGTGGACCACGCAGCTGCTGCGCGAGCTGGTGCGCGGCAAGAGCGGCGACGAGCCCGTCTTCAACTACAGCTACGCCGCGTACCTGAAGCAGTTCAAGGCGGCTGCGAAGCGGCTGGGGCTTCCAGAGCTGGTTCCTTACCAGCTCCGCCACAGCGGCGCGTCGTGGGATCGGCTGCAGCTGCGACGCACGCTGGACGAGATCATGAAGCGTGGCCGCTGGGGCAGCCACAAAAGCGTCGCCCGCTACGAGAAGGGCGGCCGTGTGCAGGCGCAGTGGCAGCGGCTGCCCAAAAGCTTCCAGCAGTTCGCCCTGTGGTGCGAGGCCAACCTGCAGCGCGTGATGCTGAACGGCCTCGCCCCGCCCGCCGCACCGTCGCTGCCGCGCAGTGGGCTTTTGAGGACGTCTACTCCGGCTGCGGAGGTGTCGCGGCGGAAGTGACTAAACTGGGGGGCCGTGCTACAGTGACCGATGTCGTGCATGGCCCAGATCACGATCTAACAAAGAATCGAAATCAACAAAGACTTTTGAATCGTGTCCGAACTGGCAGAGTAAAAGGTGTGATGATTGCAACTCCCTGTCACACACTGAGCCGGGCACGTCGTGGGTGCCCACCGCCGCTCCGATCCAACGAGTTTCCCTGGGGCCTGGCAGAGCTCAGTGCCGTGGACATGGAGAAGGTGCGTATCGGTAACTTGCTGACCAGGTTCACGATAAAGCTGGTACGCCTCTGCCTGAGAATGAAGGTCCCATGCATCATCGAGAATCCTCTCACCTCAATGTTCTGGATCCTTCCTGAGGTTCTAAGGTTACTCGCCTGTCCGCAAGTCAAATTGGAACGTGTAGATTTTTGCCAATTCGGAACCCGATGGAGAAAAGCAACTAGACTCATGCTGTGTAATATACCTGACGACGTGTGTAGGACTCTGGACTCTTTTAAGTGTAAAGGGCGGGGGGTGTGCTCTCGGTCTGGTCGCCCCCACCTCGAGCTCTCTGGCAAAGCCCCGAATGGGAAATTCTGGACCTTAATTGCACAGCCCTACCCCCCCCGCCTTTGTAAAAAACTCGCCGAGGTTTTTCACTCATGTCATCTCGCTCGGTCTGGTCAGGGACTGCTTTCAAACTTGTCGTGATCTAAGGATCCCAGGGCATTCATGGGCCCGGGGCACAAAGTGGTCTTGGGTCTCTGGAGAAGCTTTCAGAGGCTCTGCCGTTGTAAAGCGTTCGTGAGATGACGTTGTCTCGTCTGGCTGCACACTGCATGATATAGAAGCGTCTGCGTGAAAACGATCGCCCTCATGGCACTGTCTTTGACTGGAATGAGGGCGGGTGGAAACTGCGAGAGTGGGAAGCGACCGCGGCCCATTTTTGCTCAAAGTTTTCCCTCCCAATTTTATGTGACTCTCTTTTGCCCAACCCTGCTGTCCCTGACCTTGCCTGGGGTCTCTGGAGAAGCTTTCAGAGGCTCTGCCGTTGTAAAGCGTTCGTGAGATGACGTTGTCTCGTCTGGCTGCACACTGCATGATATAGAAGCGTCTGCGTGAAAACGATCGCCCTCATTTTCGTGAGGTCCTGGGGGGTCCAGAGGGGTGCGGTCTGGGTGCTACCAACTGTGCAACTGGCCACTCGTGGACAGCTGGGGGGTGCAGCGGAGAGCGGGTCCACGCGCGCCCAGAGGGTCCTCTGGGCGCTGCCAGCTGCCAGTTGTCGTTACTTTCGCGAGCTCCTAGGCGGTCCAAGGACACACACAAATAAATACACACAAATAACAGGATGCCCCATATTTTCCAATATTTTCTGCGTGACTTTCGCAACCTCTTAGGGTCCAGCGGAAGGCGGTGATCCGCAGGCCCAGGCGGGGGGGCCTCGCCCTCCCTGGGTACTGTCAACTGCGCAGCTGTGGCCACTTTCGTAGGCTCCTGGTGGATCAGCGGAGTTCGGTGCTACGCAGACCCAAGCCAGGCCTCGCCCTCCCTGAATGTTGCCATTTGCGCGATTGTCGCCCCTTGCGTGAGCTCTTGGCGGGGTGCGGTTCTAAGCCGTCCAGGGCAGGATCTCGCCCCTCGTCGGTGCTGCCGATTGGCGCAGCTGTTGCTGCTTTCGTGAGGTTCTGGGGGGCCAGCAGCGTGCCTTGTGGCCCAGACCCGTTCGGGGCCTCGCCTCTCAAAGGGTGCTGCCATGTGCGCAGGTTCGTCCACTTTCGTGAGTTCCCGGTGGCGCTCCGTGCAGGTCGAGTATGGGCCGCGCTTCCCTGTCGTTCGCCCCCTCCAGGCCGGCATATGTCTCCTCCTTGTCCTCGTCCTCGTCCTCGCGCACGTCCCTCTTGCCCCTCATCTCTGAACATCCTCCTCCTCGTCGTTGTTATCTTCCTGCGCTTCCCCTTTCCGTGTCCTTTCCTTGCAGGCTCTCCATGTAGCTTTCACAGGGAATTGCAAGCCTTTTCACACTTTTAACTTCGAATGGGCCCGTTGAGGTTACCGCTTGTTGCAGACGGGTTGGATACGTTTTTGGGTTGCTGTTGAGCGTTGGCAGGCAGTCCGTGAGGTGCGCTGCACTAAGCATGAAGCAGAAATAATGCCGACGGTACCGTCGTGCCAGGCCCGGTGACAGGAGAAACCGCCGCCAGGTCACAACCGCGCGAAATCACACATGTTCTGCGTCAGAAGCATATACCGTTGTTTCTTCTGCCCTTTTATTGGCTCTTTCCAGAGTATATTCGGCATGGGATTATTCCGTGCACCATGGTGCTTGTTCTATTGGACCTTGCGTAACCATTTCGTGTCAAAGTTGTCCCTCAAGACAGCGCGATTGGGCTCTTCTCTGGTCTGATTGATGTTTGCCAAGTACAGTACGTTAGCCCTACACAACGGGGGCACGGCGGCCCAACGTTCCCGGGCGCATCAGCTCTTGCTGGCGGCCTTGGCTTACGCTAGCTTCTCCTCTGCAGAGGCGGGGCGGGTCCTCAGGAGTGACTGGGACTGGTGGTGGAGAACGCCGGATCACCATACGGATCCCTTCATCGCGTCCGTGCTTTCCGATGCAGCATTTTCTCGCAGCGGACCCAGCAGTTCCGAGAAGCTTCAGATGGCTGAGCACACGATCCAATCAACGTTCCCTGTCGTTGGCTCTTTGACTGGCGCAACGCAGAGGGCGGCACTGACACTCCTGGGCCTCGACTACAGCATCCCGCGGCCGCGGACCGTCTTCGACGAGTGGAAGAGCAAGCACTTCGTGCCTCCTGGCGTGGCGAACGTGAGCGCAGTGGCAACGGCCATATGCCTTTTCGTGAACCCGAAATCTGGCGGCCGGAAGGGGGAGGAGCTGCTGCACCTCGAGCAGGACGCAGACGTCGGCCGAGCGCACCAGTTCAGCTTCCACCTGGACGCCGACGGCCCTCCGACGGTCAGCGCCAATGTCACCGTGCTCCTCTTCGACATCACCGACGCATGCTCCCGGTGGGCTGGAAAGCTGGGGCGACGAGAACTATGCGAGTCCACTGGCTCTGGCCAGGCTCATCCTGGGCCCAGGGTCGGTGTTTCTGCCTTTCCTGGCCAAGCCAGGGGGTGCACACACCGCTCTTGGGCCCAGGGGGGTGTATACCAAGGCTTGGCTAGTCGGGGTGCTTATCGTGAGGCTCTGGTGCAAGCCGCTCCAGGGCCCAGGATGGGCCTGGCCACTGTCGGTGGGTGTGCACAGCTTTCCTCGCCCTGCGAGCACGCCCTGCGGCGCCTGCAGCAGGGGGACGCGCAGCGCGATTCGGACTGGCTCTTCGGCAGCGCAGCCGCTGGCGGCGCGGTGCCGCCGGGCTGCGCCGACGCCAGGGCGCACGCGGACCGGGCGCTCAGCCACCATGCTTGCGCGGGCCCCGGGCCGTGCGACGTGCGTGCCGTTGTCGCGGGCGGCGACGGCACCGTGACCTGGCTGCTCGGGGAGCTGCTGGGGGAGGAGCCGGCAATCCTGGAAGGGCAAGACACGGCACGAGCATACGGTAGGATCGTGCCCTGTCGACCGGCGGCGATCCCGCCGGCGGCGTACGACGTTGAACGCCGCTGACGACCCAGAATCGGTTGGAGTTGAACGGTCTGACGTTTCGGAAAGGGCCGATCGTTCAAGGTTGGACGATCCCCGCGGTATCAGGAACCAATGCCGAAGTCACCACGACACGAACCGGCCGTAAACCTTCGGAGGTCCGCGCGGATTCCTTGGATCGGCGCTAGGGCCGCCTCCCTGGTGGCGCCTGCGGCGCCGCCCCTGGCGCGCTCCGCGCGCCAGGGAGGCGGCCCCAGCGCGGATCCCAGGAATCCGCGCGGACCTCCGAAGTTTATACGCGTGTGCCGCTATCTGCTCGTCCGAGTCCGGGTGCCCGTCGGCGTGATCCCCCTGGGCACCGGGAACGACCTCTCCCGCCAGCTCGGCACGCTGGCCGGGGCGCCCCGCTGCTCCGGGGCTGGCTCCGCCGAGGCTCCCGAGATCACGCCGCCCTCGGGCCGGCTCGTGGGCCCGGACATGGGGGCCTTCATGGAGGTGATGGCGAAGTTCGCTCTGGCGCCCGCGACCGAGTTCGACCTGTGGGAGGCGGTCGTGGACGTCCACGAGGCGGGCCGCCTGGAGGAGGTGAAGCGGAAGGAGGGCGAGGCGGAGGCGCGGTTGGAGCCCATGGGGCACAACTGCAGGAGGCGGGCCGAGGATGGCCGGTGCCTCCAGATGAGGCATTCCATGATCAACTACGCGTCTTTGGGCTTCGAGTCGCTCATCGGCCTGGAGTTCGAGAAGTGGCGCTCGGAGCGCAGCGATACCTCGCAGCTGAGGAACAAGCTGAAGTACGCCGAGCTCGGCCTCAGGTACACCATGCCCGGCATCATGGGCTCGGAGTCCAGAGACTTCCCCGGTCTCAGGTACCAGTCGCTGAGCTCTTTCATGCGCAGCCTGCAGGACGGTGCCCCCAGAAGCCAGGCACGCGGGGGCTCCTCGGTGCTGGAGAGCTCCAGGGGCGTGTCTCGAGAGTCGTCTCAGGCATCAGAGGCCGCTGTGAGCGGGGAGATGCAGCGGGCCCGCGGGCAGATGCAGCGCTCCAACTCCACCGGGCCTGCATGCGACCCAACGGGCAGTGAGTACAGTTCGATGGTCTTCATGAATGTGGAGTGCATCATGGGGGGTGAGCGCAAGTGGCCCCGCGACGTGCCAGTTCAGCCCAGCTTCGATGACCAGAAGCTCGAGGCCTTGGCGTTCACAAGCCCGGTGAGCATGAAGTTGGCCAACGGGTTTGGAGTTCCTGGCTTCTTGGCTAGCACTTGCGCTGTGGGCCAGTATGGTCGACCGCATGCGACGTTCCTGCCAGGCGTTACCACTGCCTTCCAGGTTGATGGCGAGTTTTACGCAGCAAGCGATATCAAATCCTTTGAGTTACAATTCAATCAGCGAGTGGAGCTCCTTCGACTAGGGAAGGCTCAGGCTTACTATAAGGCTCCAAGCATCATATGGGGGGCGTGAGTCTGTATATTGCATTGTTCCCAAGGGTGCCGATTCACCCATGCGCATTTGTCAAGAGGCTTGCTTTCGGTTTACCAGACTCGATCTTGTAGATTATGTTTGCGCGTTGCAGTGCGCACGTTCATACATGGTAATGCGTCTCTAATGTTATCTGGTCACTGCTTTCCCTGGGGCTCAGAGAACTGCAACACGTGAAACCTCGCATTCCAATATTCCTGGGGGACGTAATATGCATCAGTTCGCTCCCGTAGTGGATAAAGAACATGTGGCAGTCAACTTCTACATGATATGGAGAAGGGGGAGTAGGATGAAGAGGGGAATGATGATGATGATGAGGATGAGGAGTGTGATGAAAGGGTGGAAGTGGAAGAGTAGGAGGAGAGATGGGGAGCATGAGGATTGGGTGCTAGAGGATGATGACAGGAGCACAGGAGGAAAGGATGATGAGGATGATAATGAGGATGAGGAGGATGATGCTGCTGATTGTGATGACGATTATGATAATGATGATGATGATGCTGCTGCTGATGATGATCATGCTGACGATGATGACCATGTCGAAGATGCTGATGCTGATGATGATAATGATTCTCATGATGATGAAGATGATCATTGCGATGATGATACTGATGATGATGCTGATGATGATGATGATTGTGCTGATGACGATAACGATGCTGATGATGCTGATGGTGTGGATGAATACGATGCTGATGCGTATGATTATTTAGATTCTGATGATGTCAATGTTGATGCTGATAGCGATGCTGATGATGATACCGATGCTGAAGTTGATGCTGAAAAGGCTGCTGATGATCACGCCGATGCTTATGAGGCTGTTGCTGATGATGCTGAGGCTGCTGATGATGATGATGACGATGACGATGATGATGACGATGACGATGATGATGATTATGATGATGATGATGATGATGATGATGATGATGCTGATGATGCTGATGCTGATGATGATGATGATGATGATGATGATGATGATGATGATGATGATGATAAGGATGATGATGACGACAATGGCTATGATGACTGATATTCTGATTATGACAGCAGTGATCACGATGATGACGACGATGAGGATGATGGTAATGGGTTGATGGCGATGGCGATGTTGATGCTGATGATGACGATGGCAGTGTTGTAGATGATGATGCTGAGGATGCTGATGATGATGATGCTGATGATGATGATGATGATGATGATGATGATGATGATGATGATGATGCTGACGCTGATGCTGATGCTGATGCTGATGCTGCTGATGCTAATGATGCTGATGCTGATGCTGCTGATGCTAATGATGACGATGATGCTGCTGCTGATGATGATGTTTCGGAAGTGACCTTCTGACCATGCAAATCTGGGTGCGCCCCGATCTACAGGGACCCACGTTCCTGTCACAATCAGTGTCCAAGCGGGAAGCGCTGCCCACTCTTGGGCGTGAGCCCTCTCGACAGACGAGACGAGACACCACGGCCAGCACGTGTGGCGCCCGTAGGAGGGCACAGGTCGGCCAACGCCTGAGCTTTGTCAACGCAGTGCCAACCACACACCCTGCAAAACAAAATTCCGCGAACGCAGTCCAGCTGATGACTGCTATGCATCTTGGGATAGCAGGGGTGGGCGAGGACCACCTCAGGGCCGTCGCTCAAAAGCGGCCTCCCCGTGCATTTCCCAGGCTAGAAGTCAGAGAGTTGGCCGACCAAGGCCTTACATTTGCGTCGGCACACCTGGCACCGGAACAGGCCTTTTGTCACACGCACAAGCGAGTGGAGTAGGGGGAGCCCCGCAGAGCACCCCGTCGAACTTGAAATCCCCCGAGGTGCAGGATCCGTACGAACAATAGCCCAAACGCACTTCCGAAGCCTCCCGTCTTTCGCCATCTTTCCATCAGAGCCATCTACCCCCCAGGTACCTCCAGAAATTTGGGCCCCTTGCTCCAAGAGACCCCACCCATACACCAGAGCAGTCGGCGGAGGGACACGATTGAGAGCGGCAGCCAAGGTAGGAAGACCACGGTTCCAGAACGCACTCTGGGCAAGTGCGAGCAGTTTCCTGAGCATCAGGGACCAGGTGTGCAGAACGAACCATACCACTGGAATCAATATCATTGTTACACGGGAAAGATCAAATCCGATGCATCATGGTCTCCTGCGCCGCCCGACATCTGGGGCATGCTCCTGACGTCAAATAGCCAGCCTTACGAAGCCGTGCTTCAGGCCAGCATCCCAACATCACGATCCATGCAAGCAACGCGGCGTCCTGGTGCGTTCCATCCGCAACAAGCTTACGATGGAAGCGCCGAACGACAGTGAAATCAACGCCCTCCTCCAGACCCACCCCATAATGGTGCTTGGCGGCATCGCTCCAACTTTCCAAAGACACGGTTTGCTTCACACAATGGTCCAATGAATACAACAAATCATCCTGGTAGATGTTTGTGAGGAGGAGGAATATTCGGGAAGAGGATGCCACACAAGACATGGAACACGACACGGCCGAAGTACTTCATACGTCTCTCCCCAGGGTCCCGAGGGCCGTTTCCGATGAGAGTCTTGTCTGGTCTGTCAGAAGCTATCTTAAAGCCTTTGGGGCCTTCGTGGGGCTTCTTGGGCGCCTTGCCACCTATCGGGGACCTCTGTAGCCCTCCGTGGGTCTTCGTCGGCCGCCTTGTGATTTTTTTGGGGCCTTCTTGGCGCCCGCTTGAGCTGCCTTGGACACCTTCGCGGTCGCTCTGGCCAGCCTTGGGCTGTTTTTGGGGCCATGTTGGCGTGCTACTGGAGCTCTGCTGGTCCCATATGCCATCCAGAGGCATCCCTTGAGCCATCCTGAACCGAGTGCCTGGTGCTGTAATGTTTCCTTTGTTGTTTTTGCAAAGGAACGCATTGTTTGTAACGGGATCGGTGCGCAGCCTCTCTGGGAGTTGCAGCGGCCGATCAGCGGCAGGATATGCAGGTGTTTTGCATCGTCATGGCCTCCATGAAGACCTCTTGGGGGTCTCTTGGGGCCTCTTGGAAGCTTGAGGCCTCTTGGAAGCCTTTCGCAGTAGTCTTGGGATCTGTGGGGCCCACCTTGAAACAATCGTGGTCCATGTTGACGCCTTTGGTGGCCTTCGGGGCCGTCTTCGAAGCCTCCTTGAGCATTTTGGAAGCCATGGGCAGCGTCAGGGAGGCATCGTACCGCCCAGATAGCATCGGGAGAGCTGGTGCTGCGCGCGGCTGGATGCGACGAGGAGAGCGGTGGCTGTGGGAAGTCTATAGAGGCTAGGCAAGTCAGCCCTGGCATCATACAGCGCCCCGGCGTGCCGTGGATGACGGCGACAGGTCAGTGTGTTTTTACGCGTCTCAGAACGGCGCGGTCCATGTGAGAACGCAACACCAGTGGCATCAGACATCAGGCTCATGAGTGTGCCCAATAATTAATTGGGCAAGCAGTTTCCACCTTACAAGGCAGTTCATATTCAATGGTTGTGATGAGCCTGATGATGAATGTGATGACGATGCTATTAATGATGATGCTGCTGCTGATGATGATGTGATGTATGTGTATGTTCAGTCACAGCGGAGCAACACGTGATTTTTCGAACGCGCATGCCGTCGTGTTTGCTATTTGTTGGATTCCCTGTGGCATTTGATACTCTGTGCGCTGCGAGCTGTGCGCGTATGCCGATGAATGTGTGGATGGATGTATTGGCTGATGGATGAAGCGTGGCGCAGATGAATGGACGGGGGCATGCAAGGACCGATGCATGTGATGGCCATTGTTTCGTGTTTGTTTTGTTGCTGCTACTCGAGCGTATATATGGCCTTGGCTTGAACCATAATGACAAACTGCATGCGGTGCTGGGTGGAATAAGACGGTTAATGCTCATATACTTTAACAGGCGCCTCCACGCATCAGGTTATTTATGATTTTTGTGTGTTGTCATGTTGACGTTTGCGTGGGTTCGGCGTGTCCGTGGTTTCTATGGCGAACCACCTCCGCAGCCTTGCTTTTTGAGGCGTCCATGTGGCCAAATGTCGGGCAAACGCTTGTAGCTAAGCTCTTGGACACTGTTCCAGCCAGCCGTTGTGGGAACCCTTAGAGGGATAAGCTGAGAGAAGGCGAGAGAGAGAGAGAGAGATAGACAGGATGACCGGGGACAGGGAGGATAATGAGGAGGGGGGGAGGCGGAGAAGGACGAATAGTTATGATGATGACGACGATGATGATGATGGTGATGATGATGATGGTGATGAGAAGGAGGAGGAATAAGATAAGGAGGAGGAGGACCAGTGTAAGCCCAAGGTGCATCAACGATGTTGAAATACATCCTCCCTCCAAGTTCCCTCTCCATAGATCCCAACCGTAATTTACTTTCACTTTTGTAATGTCTCGTTGGAAGACAACCTTCTGAGAATCTTCGATCGTGCTAAAGCACCATTTCTTGGACTTTAGCGCCGCGGATCAACTGTAGTGCTGCGTCCTGGAGATCCCGCACCGAGCCAGGACAGGAGTCCTTCGACTTCAATACCGCGAATCAACGTGAATGTTGCCCCCTGGCAATCCTGAGCCGTGCGGGAAAACCATTTCTGGGACGTCAACCATTCGAGTCCGCTGAAGGGGTATAACCTCATCAAGGAATATTTGCGCGGCGCTAGGGCGATAACCACATTTTGAAAACGACCCGCCCTCCATCCGTGAAATGTTTACACTTTTTGTCAAGGAATGTGCGCTGCGCTGACGTGAGAGCCACATTCTGAAGACGACCCGCCTTCCATCCGTGAAACTCTCGCAAGTTTTTGCGTCGAATGTGGGTGGCGCTAAGGCGGGAGCCACAATTTTACAACGACATGTTCTGAATCAGACTCTGCCAGACTTTTTAGAGGAGTGTGCGCGGCGCTGGGGGCGAGAACCACATCTTGAAACGGAACCGCCTTCCAGATGTGAAATTCTGGCACACTTTTACGGCGAATGTGTGTGGCGCTCAGGCGAGAGTCATGTTTTGGAAAGGACGACCTCCATCCGTGAGGATCTTGCGAGCTTTCATAACGAATGTTCGCGGCGCTCAGGCGAGAACACCGTTTTGAAAAGGATTTGCTCTCCATCCGTGAATCTTTTGCGAAGTCTTCAGACGAATGTGTGCGTTGCTGGGGCGAGAGCCACATGTTGAAAACAGCCCGCCCTCCATTTGTGAAGCTCTTGCGATTTTTGGTGACGAATGTGTGCGTCGGTGGGGCGAGAGCAACATTTT